GGGCGCAAAATTGAAAACAAATTTAAATTTGTTATAGTCACGTGTATTTAAAGTTTCAGTATGTATATTAGAAGATATTACGGCCCGGTGGAAGTTTGTAATTGTAACGGTTTGTTAAAAGAACATGTATTGAATGATTGTATTAAATTACAAATTTTAGTAACAGTATTTTTATATAACTATATAATAATTAATAACTATTTAATCTTTTACATTATTATTATTAGGTTATTAATATTTAATTTAAATAACTTTCGATTTGTTTCAAAACTAGGAAATTTTCATGACTAGGAGGTGACTGAGTAAATAGAGATAAGTTCCACGTGATCTAAAATTGATATCGGGCTCGTGATTTCATCCTTCGTTCCATTTTGCCTTGGTTTTACGAAACGCCTCATTTCTAAAGAACCACTTTTAATTTCAAGATGACTGACGATTCACCAATTTACAGCTCATTTTTTGGCGTTATGGGATCCACATCAGCTATGGTATTTAGTGGTAAGTGAAATATTATCAGTCATCTGTTTAATTATTAATATTAATTAATATTGTGATTTCTTAAAAAATAGGGAATTATGAAATTAAAATAAGATTTAAAAAGGTGATAATGACTCAAAAAAGTGATATAATTTCAAGAGTGAATGTAGAATTTAATTTAGAATCAGTTATAAAAAAAAGTATTTCAAGTTTTTTAATTATTATAAAATTAATTTTATAATAATTAAAATTTTAATAATAAATAACCCAATTTAACTCAATATCATAACACTGTTTTCATAATTTATTTATTTTACTAAAAATTAATCAGTTTATTTGACTAAGATAAAATAGAAACATTATCAGGCTAATCCACTGTTTCTTGAATGTTCTAATTTTTCATTATACATATTTATAATAATTACTAAATATTCATTGAATTATTAAAAATATTAAAACTTTCATAGTTCAAATCATCAAAATACATATGTTTACTAATACCCGCATCAAGGAGTGTATCCAGTATGCGTAATAAATAAATAAATAAATACTAATAAAAATTTTGTAAAAAGTTTCTGAAGAATTTTTTGGATGAAGTAATCTTTCTCAAAATATATGCCTTATATTTATTGATTAGCAGGTTGAAGTGTAAGAATTTACTTTGAATGTGTAGCACTTTTTTGTTTTTTAATTTGTTTTTGTATTTTGAGGAAAAGCATTTCAAGTAGTATGATTCCTCTTTAATAGCCAATGTGAATGATGCTATTGGGCCTTAACAGAGATGTAAAGCATGCCCATAGGAACAAAAATGTTGAACCATACCTCCAAATGTGACCCTTTGTGAGATATAGCCCCCTCGAAATTAGCCTAACGTCATCTATTTGGAGCTATAGGAGGTCTCACTGCATGCTTTGCTAAGCCTGTTGCGTGTCTAACAGTCAATACAGCACAGTAATCAGACATTCTAACAATATTTATTGGCAAAGAATAAAAAGTCTGATACCTGATTCTTTGCAAGTTATTTGCCTCCAAATGTGGAATCCAATTGTGGCAGTTCCAGTTGTCATCTTTCTTGTGGACAACATGCTTGCAAGTAAGTTATGTTACAGGCATGGTGATCAGTGCCTATAAGAAATAAATGCATTAACTTCTACTGACTGAAAACAGTTTTTACCTTGAACCAGTACTATTGCCTATTCTCCATGCCCTGCATTGTCAAGGCGAGCGATAGGAAGCCTTGACTGATGCTCCACATATAGTCGTGCATTTTGGTACATGCTATCACTCAGTGCCTGGGTGGGGAAAAGCCCCCACATCCACCTAAAACTATATAACATCAAGTACTCCATGAACAGTCAAGTGGGCTATTTGAAGCCAGCGTAGTCACATATGCTAAATAGTTAAACGTGATAGTCTTAGCAAAGTGTGCAGTGCATGGCACGACTCACGATTTTGGGGTATATCTCGTAAAGGGTCACATTTACAGGTGTGGTTCCTTTGATCGTTTTGCTCCTATGGGCGTATGGCCTGAAAGATGTACCATGTGGCCTGGCTATGTCATCTCTGTCTACCACGTCGGGTATCCGACCAGCCGATGAACAAGGCATAGTCTCTTTAATCTGTAGTGTCAATAGGTGGGGTAGGGAAGGAGTTCCTTATGAGGCTAAGGGCATATGCAACAGCTCTGTTAACAGCTTCATTCACATCTGCAATTGTACCCTTTAATATGTGTGTATATTATTACAGATTATTTTTTTTATGCTTTTGACTTCTCAATATTGATTTAAAGGCATTAGACATAACCTTAGTTTCTTAAAAAGTTTTCCATTTTTAATATAATGCATAAACTGTAGCTGGCCATGTCAAAAGCATATTTGTTTTTGTAATTTTTAAATGTTTAGTCTGTTAAGTAAAAATAGCAATAAGCATGTTCATGTAAAATTATAATTATTTTATATTTTTAATAATATACATATATAATTATATATATAATATAATATTTTTAATAATAAAGCAATAATTTTATATTTTTGTAATGTACAAGGTAATCCATTTTAATCAGTCCAGTGGAAAAATTAAAAAAATACAAAGCCTGCAAAAAACTGTTGAATCAAAAATATTAGACTTTTAGGGGCCATAAGATGTGACTGTTAGTTTTGTTGTAGATGATGATACAATCATTGAAAAGGAGTCAACTTCATTTTCTTAAACAAGAACCCTGTATTTTGGTTTTATTGCATATTCTGATTATACATCAAAAATAAACTAAATTTTATCTAAGAGATTGATTGATTGTTTGAAAGATTCACTTATCAGAAGTTATGAGCATTTGAAGTTTTATGCAGCCATCACACCATGCACAGATGAATCAGTGAAGTTCATTAAAAGAAAAATAAGAAAAATAAAAAAATACTAAAAAATGATCAGGAAACTTAATGTTTGGTGCAATCAAGATAAACTTATCTTTATCACAGACTCGATGGCTTTAACGTGTTGCGGTACTAGTTTTGTATCAGTTCCATGTTAAACTATTCTTTTTTGCTAAATTTATAAGTTTCCACCAAATAATAATAGTTCTTAATAAAAATATTTAAAAAACCAATGGAGTCAGATAAATTGTCTTTACCCAATTGTACTATTAATTTGTACACGGAAAAATAATTCTCCTTACTTCTCTGACTTCTGGAGGCTTAAAAAATTCCAAGTCCGTAGACTGGTATAAAAAATAAACAGGACCAACAGGTTAACTTTAAGAGAGAGAAATTTTTTATTTAACACTATACTTCACCCCAAATGCATTTTGCCTTTTTGGCCTCTTCAGCAGAGTTTATTACAACCAGAATGCAATACAGTACAATCAGAATGTAATACAGTAGAAGACACATCATTAACACAAGTACCATCGCATTTACAACTATTATTTATTATCAACTCTTCCCAGCATTTTGCGGGTATCACGCCGTTATTTAAATTCATAACATTATTTTGCATAACTATCACGAAATGTTCTTTGAATTTTCTGTTTACTTTATTTTTTTTCCTCTATTTAAGATTTTAAATTTTACCTGAATATAGGTTAATGAGTTTGGATATCGTATCAATGTATCCTTCAATCAAAAAAGAAATTATCATAGAGTTTGTGAGTACAATACCCATACATATTTAATAACATTAGTGATTTTTGCATTGGATAATAATTTCTTTACAGTCAATGGAAGGTATTAGCAACAAAGGGACAGAATATCTATGGGTTCACTTATTGGCCCAAACTAGCAGAAATAGTCATGATAAACATAGATAAAATCTTGTCACGATTAGGAGGAATAGTATTCCTTGCACAGTATGTAGACAACATATTTATTATATACAATACTAAAATAACAACATCCTCTGAGAAAATACTAGAGAGAGCCAGTGAAATTAATGAATATATCAAGTTTACTTATGAGAACAAAATATTTGATAAACTTTAAACCTAACTATTGTTTATATATAGGTAATTAAGATCATTTAGAGTATAATAAGTATGCAAATAAAGTTATAAATTTTAAATCTTATTGCCCAATTAGCCAAAAAAGAAATATTTATTTAATGGAAATAAGTAAGATCCTTTCTAGAACAACTAGAATTAATAAGAGATGAAGAAATTAAAAAGGTGAACAGGAAATATTTGTTAAACGGTTACCTGGGAAGATTGTTAAAGAATTGGTACGATAAATATTTAGAGAGCAGATTTCAAGTAAAGAAAAAGCAAGAAATTAATATGTATGTCTCTTTTCATTAAGGGTATTTTTGAAAAATATTTCAAAATTTTTTGTGAAAATACAATTAAATTAGCCCCATTCCAAAAAAATAGGTTATTTGGACTAATAAGACTGAACCTTATAAGGTTAAAGAGCTATTGGAAGAAGGAGTGATCTGTAGACTCCAGTGTACATGTGGAATACCAAACTGTTATGTTGGTGAAATGAAGAGGAAACTGAAAGTGAGGATGTCGGAACATTGGCTTCAGTGAGACTTAAAGTTAATACATCTCCCGTGTTTTTACATTGTCGGGTGATTAATTGCCAAGTTGATATTAATAATGTAAAAATCTTAAATAGAGGGAAAAAATAAAGTAAAAAGAAAATTCAAAGAACATTTTGCGATAGTTATGCAAAATAATGTTATGAATTTAAATAACGGCGTGATACCCGCAGAATGCTGGGAAGAGTTGATAATACATAATGGTTGTAAATGCGATGGTACTTGTGTTAATGATGTGTCTTTTACTGTGTTACATTCTGGTTGTAATAAACCCTGCTGAAGAGGCCAAAAAGGCGAAATGCATTTGGGGTGAAGTATAGTGTTAAATAAAAAATTTTTTTTCTCTTAAAGTTAACCTGTTGGTCCTTTTTATTTTTTATACTAGTCTATGGACTTAATTTTTTTAAGCCTCCAGAAGTCAAAGAAGAAAGGAGAATTATTTTTCTATGTACAAGTTAATAGTACAATTGGGTAAAGAATAATAGTTCTTTTTCCTAATGATATTTTATTTTCCAGTGAATGTCACAGATATCCATAGATTTGTTTGCATAGTGTGACAGGCATGTAAAACTTCAAACTCATGACTTCTGATAAGTATTTTTTCAAAACAATATTCTAGATAAAAGTTTATATACTCTGATTCTATATCAAAAACAATGTATTTATTTTTACATGTATAATTTTGCTCTTTTAATTGTTTTAATTTAAAAATTTAGAAGTTTTTGGAATCTGTTATCAATAATTCAGTATTATTGTTGCATGAGATTAGAATATTTTTAGGTCATGTAAACTTAACTTGGTTTCTTTAATAAGATTAAGGTGCATATACATACAGGGAAAGTCAAGAATTTTCATTAGTGTTCAGAGAGTCAAGAAAAGTCAGGGAATTTGCTTCATTGGCTAGCACAAGATGGAAACAGTTACACACTGTAGAAAGAGACAGGAATGCATTGATTGTTAGTTATGTATGCAATCAAAAATTTTCCATATTTTTC